TAGGCTTATTTAATACCTACCTTTTTTGTATAAACTTTTTTTCGCTATGAATAATAGCTTTTTTACGTGAGTCAAAAAACCACTTTTCCATAACTTTGACCACTGTTAAAACAAAGTTTCCCAACTAGCCTCGAGTTGATTTTTTGATATTTTATTTATAACAGGTTTCCGAACAATATTCCGCAGAGAAGCTTCTATTAGTATTTTTTTTCCCGAAACAGGCTCTTTCATGTCTATAATGACTGGGCTACGAACCTCGCCCAGATCTAGTGATCTACACTTTTATTATGTGAGTTGTACTGAAGGTAATCCAAAAAAAATTTGCTTGCCTCCTCCCACATCCACCTCAAAACAGATCCTCCCTGGTCTAGATGTAAATGTAGGTTTATTTTGAAGATAACATCCGTTGGGAGACACTCCCTATAGGCATATAAAACCAGTGATGAAACTTATTGATATGCAGGAATGCATAATAATAATTGATATTTTTTATAAATATCCATTTTCTTAAAACTTCTTGCGTTCGTGCTTAGGCATCACATCATAAAATTAATTAAATAACAATTAACTGATTGATTATACAATATTTTTTCATCGGAAAGTTCATAAATGTTATAATCAATCGTTTGCCTGTCATATAAATTTCATATCTGCTGTCACTTGAGCGTATTAATTAATTCCTCGATAATTTTTTATTCTCGTTTATACTCTGCGTTGTTTCGAAGACCCTGCGGTGTAAGTGGAGCAAGGACCTCCGACACTGTCATTGTACGCACACCTTGAACGGGTTTATTGCATCTTTATAGTTATTAAGATGCAATTCGAGAGTTAAATGGGAAGCTGACGCACGCCAGTCGAATCGTTCGAAGATTTCTACGGCCTGAATGGAATGTGTACATGTCCTGAAATGTTACATCCAGTCTGTTATGGGCGATTGTTTTGTCAATGCGTATAAGATGCCAATATAATTTATAATACAGTGTGGCCACCGAGGTATCCGATATACTTATATACAGGGTGTTACAAATTAGTAGGTCAAGCAATTAACACATATTCTTTGGACTAAAATAATGGGACTTTTCTTATGCCACTTTTCATTTCGGAGCCTCATTTTAAAAATACAGGGTGTCAAAATTAAAATTTAACAAATGATTTTTAATGATAACTCCCGTGATTGTAGAGATATTTATTTGAAATTTACCACATATTTTGATCTTATGTCGGCACACTTTTTGTGTAATTTTGAATACGCCTATGCTTTTGGAATATATTGTTTTAGATAAAGCGGCGTTTTATTCTATTTTTTTCACTCTTGTAAGATTTTTATTTGTGGCCTCGTTTAGAAGATATTGTAACTTTTTTGGATACGCGACATCAATTTAGTCGGCGTTGGATTTTTGGGATTTTATGAAGTCAGTTGAACATGTAAAAAAACGCTTGGCAATAAAATTTAAAGACATTCAAAGGCATCCCTAAAAAAGTTTACTGCTAAAGTTAAAAAATTATAATAATTTGTATATAATGTGTAGAAAATTTCTATTATATGTTCATTTGGCCAACAACATGTTTTAATTAAGTATTTATGTCCTCAAACAATTTTATTATATTGATGGTAAATTTCGTTTTGTTCCGTTTCAAAAGGTATCCAAAATGCCATGTTATAATAATATTAGTAAACAAAATATCCCTCTTATTTCTCCCTTTCGCAATTGTAATGTGAATGATTAATAGAATGGTGCCTATAACAAATTAATATTACCTGAATCACACCAAATTCCGCATTGCTGCACTGCACTGTTGGGCAATTTATCAACCACTTGTCAACTGCTGTGATTTATTTCCCAGTAGCCCAATGCAACTGTCTTTGTTTTCCTTTGCCGGTGCTCGCATTCTTCAACTGGTCGTATACATTTCTACCACCTCTACGTTTAGTTCGACCGGGTCTGTTTGTATGGCTAAATAAATATGGGAATAAATTTTTCAAATATTTCAATGCCGAGTTGCTGCGTAGCGACCGAGCCTGGTACATACCCTGAAGTTATTGGTTTTTCAATTGACTTCGCAATAATTATACCAATACTAACTTTAGGCTGAAACCACATATTTTGATTTGGGGCTTGCTGTACGAGATTTGCAACTTTTTAGATATGTTAGGTTTTTAGTAAGTAAATTTAAATAAGTAAGACGACTCAAATCTTTTATATAGCCGCAAAAAATCTTTTTTTTTTAATTTGGACACCCTGTATTTTGGGGGTCCGAAATTAAAAGTGACAAAAGAAAAGTGTCATTATTCTAGCCCAAAGAATATGTGGTTAACGGGTTGACCTACTAATTTGTAACACCCTGTATAAACGTATATGAATTCTATTACTAATTTTAAGCAAAAATGATTATATTCACTTTTCCCGAATTCCCAATGATTCTTGAAATATCGGGGTTTGAAGTTGCTTGGTTCAGATCCGGAGATCGCGGTGGCCAAGCAATGGAACCACCACGACCTATCCATCGGTTTGGATACTTTTCATTGAGGAAATTAGTGACACCTCTTCCATAATGGGATGGAACACCATCGTGCAAAAAGAACTGATTCTGATTTGAAGGGGAATGTCCTGAAGTAGTAGAAGAAGATAGTCTTCTAAAAAGCCCGGTATATTTCACTGTTCAAATTTCCGTCGAAGAAATATGGTCCGATAACTTCATTATTAATTATTCAAATAGCATGAGGGTTTTCGATTGCCCACACATGATTGTTGTGGAAATTGTAGATTCCATTCCTTGTAAATGTAGCTTCGTCACAGGAAAGGGTTCTTGAAAGAGTATCCAGATGATTGCTCCACCATTCACAAAGACGAACTCTTTGGGGAAGATCCGTGAGGAGAAGTTCTTGTACCGGTTGGTAATGATAAGGATGCAGTCCGTTTTCTCTTGCACAGCCATCCTACTTTGTCCAGTAAGTATGGAATTCTTCTCGGACTAGTACCAGGATCAGTTTCAACAAGCTCAATCACTTTTCCATCATTGTTTTTTCACATAACTTCTCTTTCACAAGTTGGTTTAGGGAACAACTTCTATTGAACGTTTGCTTGTCTGGAAGGTGGAAGTTTGGATATCGTTGTTGATATTCCCTAACGGAGGCGGCGGTACTACCATTGCAATATCCATACACGAGAATCATGTCCGCGTATTCTTCATTTGAATAAATTAAGGGCATGATTTTAATAATACAAATGTAGCAAAAAAATAAAAAAGAACCAACTGTTAATGATGACAACTGAAGACATTGCAGCAAAAACGAGGTAACTGCGCTATTAAAAATTTTTCAGGAGGGACAAAAACATGTCTTAAAATTCAAATTGATTCAAAAAACGAGATTTCAAAGACTGCAGTTTTTTGAAAAACTAAAAAAAATTTTGCAGCCATCTCGTTTTTGCCACTAAAACTATGAATATATATTTTTTATTAATGATGGACATGAAATTTATTTAACTAAATGCAAACTTTAATGTTCACTATTATATGTACCTATATTTTAAATATTTTGGAAGCTACCTTATTTTTGCACCAAATAAAATGATCAGATATTTTATTTAAAGAAAAACAAACTTTATTTTAGAAAACAATGGAAGTACATGTTAATAAACGTTTTTTTCTTTCCCCGCTATCTTCATCATCTGTATCTTCAGTCTCACCTTCATCTGTCTTCAGGTTTTGATGAAAGGTTAAATAATCAACCTGTAGATATCTGCACAGTTGCCTTATTATTGGACCAAATGTTTCGTAGTAAATGGAGGAGGTAACTACAAAAAATTGTGCATTACTTTTCAAATTCGTTCAAATACCTCCAATTAGCCAAAAAGTGCAGCTACCTCGTTTTTGCTGCAATATCTTCAATTAACGAACTGACAACCAACAATTTTTTTCTAATCCCAACCATGTTGCTCATTATTAAGTTACCTAGTAACAATGTAGCAACAATTTACTCTTTAGCAACTACCTATACGATTTGGCAACGTCAAACCCCGATATTTGAAGAACCATTGGAAATTGGAGAAAAGTAAATAGAATCATTTTTGCTTAAAATTAGTCACAGAATTCTTTGATATTGTTTGTGGTGTGTATGTGTAATATGAATTTGTGTCTTTATGTATTTGTTATTGTAATGCGTGATGTATAACTTTAGCTACTGTAGGTATTAATGCATATTTGTACACTCACCATTTGCTAATAGTTTGCAACCTGATATTATATGTCTGATCGATTGTTTCGGAAAATAAATGACTTCTTCTTCATTTATCATTTATGATTGTGACGTCTTTTAAAATATGTTTTATGGGCATTTGTGGTTATGATATGATCTTGATTTGTAAATATAAAAGTCTCAGTTTCAGGGTATCTATAACTTCCCTTTCTGTATGTTCGTTATTTTGATATTGTCATAGTGGCTACCATGAAGCGGTTTGGATGAACAATTTATTTTCTTCTGTTCTATCGAATTGAAGACCTGACTGTTCTTGCGTCCATAGGTTTAGAGATGTGCAATTTGTAACTATTTGAACTATAGACCTATGCAATGAGTGGGTATTCTTTATTATAGAAATAGGATCTTAAGGTTCTGTTTTATGCACATTTCTTGTAGGTCTATCATTCATCTTCCACCTTTCCTTCTACTTCTTCTATGTTATTATTTCTTTATATAAGTTGGGACATAGTTTCCTATTTTTCGTTAATTGTATTCTGGTTAATGTATCAATATTTTTTAAGTCTGTTTTGGACCATATTGTTCATTATTATTACTATTATTATTTCGCATGCCATATTTGAATGATTGTTCTAAGAACAAATTGTTTATTTATGTTTATTTTAACGAAAGGCTTCAGTCCTGAAGGTCTGTAGCTGTGTACATAGTGTAAGTAAGTGTATCTTCAGCAACTTTCGAAAGTACATCGCAGGTCTTATAAATTACACTTACACCTTTAACTAAAATTATTTTTTTATTGTAGGTAGACCTGGTTCGGATTATCCCGTCTTGGGCACTGTTCCCTACACGAACTTCTACTGCGACGAACAGCCTTACCCAGGGTTTTACGCGGACACAGAGACGCGCTGTCAGAGTTGGCATTATTGCGACATCGACGGCAGGCAGACGACGTTTCTGTGTCCCAATGGTACTCAGTTCAGCCAGTTGGTGTTCGTCTGCGATTGGTGGTTCAACGTCAGGTGTGACCTGAGTGAAAAGTAAGTTTTCCGGTGATGTAAATGTTGGCAGAATCATATTTCTCGATACGTTAATCTGAAAATATTTGTCGAAATTTATTTATTTTTTTGTAATGAGTTATAATAAGGTCCATATAGTAACTACAGACTCCTAGGATCAAAATAAGATAAGTCCATCTGCTTAATTAACAATTTAATATATTTCTTCCTTTTTTTGGGCTTACTTGACCCTTCCTATTATGTATGCGTGTACCTGCTGTTAAGTAAGTTAGAATTGTAGTAAATATTGTCGCATAGCTACTAACTTATCGACTACAATTAAATAACGAATCATTTTTTGATCGCAGAGCAAGACTATGAAGCTAAGTAACATGCGTTCATAAATGTCCGAGACATTAAGGAACGCAGTTGCCCATTGGCTGAAAAAATTTGTAATGTTAAATGTATTAAACCTACCAAATTTCCTAACCTACATTGATATGGGACTTTTCATTACATTTTATGAAGATGTGTCCATAGATTTGCTTGGTTTGAGGAAAGACTATGTTCCCTAATGTCCCGGGCATTTATGAAGGCACTGTATATCAATAGTAATCTTAAATTTAGATAAAGATATCAAATTCTGATTTTGAAGACGAATTTGTCTGAAAAATCAAAAAGCATTATTATTTCTTCATCTCATTTATAGGGTATTGATTATATCTAAAAAACAGGATCAAAAGGAACTATGACGTTCAAGCAATTTTATTGCATGAATCGTTCAAAGGGTCATTTTAGATGAAAAAACCGCGGAGTGGATTGGANCAAAAATACAAATCTTTCCTCTTTATAATATTAGTATAGATAAAAACTAAAAAAACTTAATACAAAAATACGTACTTGATATATTTAAATAGTTAAATAATGTAATCCTTCAAAGAAATATTGTGTATTCTTGTTCTTCTAACTTCAGCCTTGGACAGATCAACAAGTAAAAATAACCACGATATAAAGTTTTTACTATTTCTACATTTTACTGAGAATTACTTTAATTTGTATACAAATAAATATTTAGAACACTCTGTATAATACCGAGAAACATTCTTATCTGCAAAATGTTCTTGAATTTTGAGTTTTTTACAGTTGTGAAATTCGCTAGTTTTTAGCGAATTTTCGCACAATTCGTTTTTTGTCATATTGACAGAATTTGATTTTATTTTACTTTTTGCGAAAAATTTTTAACATTCCAATCTAATTATAATAAATCTTCTTGTTTAAGCCTCTAAAAATATCGTTCTTAGCCTTTTTTTAAAGAATTTTGTTTTTTAAAGTAGGTACACGAACATTCTCTAGTAGCAATAATATTCCACACTTTTCTAGGTTAACCGAATGATTTACTAATTACACAAAACTGCTTGTCTCAAACGTAAAGACAATTTCCAGATTAAAATGTCATATTCCATCCCTTAAAGTAGCTAATTTCATGACTGAAAATTTCTACTACTTAACAAGATCTAGTCAAATTCTTTTGCATCATAGTCAGCCTGACATAAATTATTAAAATGAATAAAAATCCAATTGACTGCTTTGACGAAGTAAACTGTGATTGGAACTGGGAATTAGATTGATTTAAGTTAGCTATGAAAATAAAAGAACGCTTCGTTAATCGTTAATAAACAATTTGAAAAAAAGCAAAAAATTCGATTTTTTAATTTTTTTTACTTTTTTGCCTCTAGTTTTTTTTTTGAGTAAAGATAGATATAGGCATTGCTTCATAGAAAAAAAGTAGATAAAATTTCCTTCAAAATAAGAGGTTGTAAAGTATTTTTGGATGAAAAGTGACTGATATATGGCCGCTCAAACTTACAATTAGTCCATTTTTTTATCCGTATACCTTTTAATTCTCATGTTCTCCAAAAAAAGGAAGGAAATAAGATTTTCAAGGATTTTCATCACATGACTTGTTCGAAGGGTAATTAAAAATGAATAGACCGCGGTGTGCTTTTAAGCTAGTGGTTTGAATTTGAAAATAAGGGTGAAAATGTATTTTTGCTGTTTTTTAAATATAGCACGAAAATGAAGCAAAATCTCGGTATAGTTATTAGGAAAAATTGTGTGTAGAATTGAATTTCCTATCAAAATGGCTTATTTAAAAAATTTAAAAGAAACATTTTATAAAAGAGCAAAAATAAGATTTTTTTTTTAATTTTTGACTTAAGTTGTGAAAAATCTTTATTTATCATTAACAAATAAAACTTTTGAAACAATTTTTTATTAAGTAAAAACCAATTTGTTGTAAAAATAATAAGAATTTACAGCAATTTTCTTTGCCTAATTCTACAAAAAAAAATAATTAGAACAAAAAAAGTAAAAAAAATGTTTATTGTTTATTAACGATTTTTTGCATAAAATTTTTCTTTTAAATTTTTGAAATAAGCCATTTCGATGGGAAATTTAATTCTCTACAAAATTTTTCCTATGGATTATACTTCTTTTGCTTCGTTTTCGTGATATATTTAAAAAACTGCAAAAGGGCATTTTCACCCCTATCTTCAATTTCAACCCTCTAATTTAATAGCACCCCGCAGTATTTTCATATTTAATGACCCTCCGAACAAGTCGTGATGAAAATACTTGAACGTCTTATTTCCTTCCTTTTTTTGCAAAAAATTAGAATTAAAATGTATAGGGGTAAACGCGACAACTCTTGTTTTGAAGGACATTTTATCTACTTTTTTTTTTCTGTGAAGCAATGCCTATATCTATCTTTACTCAAAAAAAAATACTAGAGGCAAAAAAGTAAAAAAAAATAGAATTGTTTGCTTTTTTTCAAATTGGTTATTAACGATTTTTTGCATAAAATTTTCCTTTTAAATTTTTTAAATAAGCCATTTCGATGGGAAATTCAATTCTCTAAATAATTTTTCCTATAAACTGAAAGGGGTGCATTTTCACCCCTATCTCCAATTTCCACTCTCCAATTTAATAGCACTCCGAGGTTTTTTCATCTAAAATGACCATTTGAACGATTCATGTAATAAAATATCTTGAAGGTCATAGTTCCTTTTAAAATCCTATAGTCAATAGCCTATTAGTTTCATAGATTATAAAAGAAAATTTTCTTACACTGAGTGTCTAGAATCTCTAAATCTAGTAGTGTATGTGATAAATTATATTAATTATTGTCGCATATTTTCTTATTTCTTCATATGTACATCAAATATTGTTGAGTTTGTGGAGATTTACCGATTATAGTTTAAAAATTAACTAAACAGTTTAACAGTTATTTAAGTTTTGTAACCATTTAATATGAATAATAATGTAAAAGGCGTGAAAACAATTAAATGTATGTGTAGGCAGTGTGGATAGACTCTATTTCAAGGAAGAATCCAAGTCGTATCTAATGTTAACGACGACTTAAGAATTCCAATGAAAATATTTGAATTTCCTACACATTTTTTATTGATGACATTTTTCTAAGAATTGATCAGTTTTTAGTGATGCGAATTGCTTTATTCGGTAGTTAAAAATTTTACACAATAAATAAAGGTAATAAAAACGTTCTGTTTATTTTTAACATCTAGCCCATTTTATGATAATAATTGTGGTCAAAAATAAGGTTGATAATAAAAAAAAAAACATTAGTTAATTACATACGACGTAGATACTATCAGCATAAGTATTTGTAGAAGGTGGTAGTAATTACTAACCGATCTTCCATAAAATTAGATTGGGGATAGTTTTGGTCCGTTCTAGGAGTTGCAAGGGTTGAGCAGGGTCATGATCATCATATTCGTGACCAGCATTCTCGAAAATATGGGGGAGGTGGATTTTTAGGGCAAGAACAAAAATTAAGGGTAGTTTTGTGTCGTTAGAAGCGGTTACGAGGGTTGGGGAAGGTCGTGATCATCATATTCGTGTATAGCATCCTCGAATACAGGAAGGGGGAGAGATATAGAGAAAAAAGGGGTGCTTCTTGGCCAAGTACTGGGGATGCGCAGGATTAGAAATTCAACGGATCTCAAATTCGGATTCAGCATCCTCGAAAACAGGAGGGCGGGGGTTGTTTTCGTAGCGACAAATATACTTCCCAAATAAGCCACTTTTTTCATTCTTTGACTTCAATCTATGTATAATTACAATTAAAGTACCCCTTAACCCATCTCTATTGGATGCAATATATACAATTTTTTTAAGGGCACGCCACAAATATATATTTATGGAAATATGTACATATTTTTGTTTTACACTACATTTAAAATCGCAAACATAAAAAAAAACAATTATTAACAGTTAAGATATCAAGGAATATTACAGTAACTCCAGTGTTTATATTTCTCAGGTTATATGTAATCAACAGCCGATTATATGGAAGGCCGAAGCTGGACCCAACCCGCCCACATCGAACCATTACAAAGCAACTGCTAGAAGACATTTTCAACGATGAGGAAGAATAGATTCCATACATCTCTCAAATAATGTACAAATGAACAATTTGGTGTTTGTCACAACTTGGCGACGAAGCAAAAACAAATTTTGTTGGCGAAATATAGTATTACATGTCATTTAAAATAGTGTACCCAAGTGGACATCTCTTTCTCTATCCAGATTCGAAGTTCAACATATTTATTTATTAATTTAGGAGTCTCTAAAAGTTTAATAATAATAATGGTGCGGTAAAATATATACATTGTGTTGGCTTAAACTCAACACGACTAAAGAATAGAACATAAATCGAAACAATGAAAGCAAAAGTTTCTAAAACTTCTTGCACGAATCGATTTATTTTTATTAAATATAAGGATGAACTGATTTTACCGGACCCATTATTTTAAACTTGCCTACTTGAAAATGAAAAGGTCACAGTAGTATTTTTCGTGCCACTTGGGATTGATTTGCGTTTGGAAGCCATTTTTATTTTAATGCGTTTTGTAATATATGTTTATAACGTTTATTACTTATTGTTGTACAGTTAGGTTAAGTATTCATAGTATCAGCAAAATGTATTAATAAACAAAAAAATAAAATATTTTTTTATGTACTGGCTCGAGTAATATTGCTATTGTTTAAATGCGTAAGGTCCATTCATTCATCAGGAGAGTCGTCAAATAATGACCTACAGATTAGTAGATATAAAGCAGCTATGACATTTAAAAAGATATGAGATATGAGGTGACGTATGCTTTGTAGGTTATATGTGACGAATACTCAAAACTCTGTGTATAATTTAAACTAATATGGCTGATATTTACGTCGTCACTTTACATTTCCTGACGTTTCGAGAGACATATTGTTTTCATCTTCAGAAGGAACTCTTTCAGAAAGAGATAACCGTCACTGAAGCATTTGAATGAAGCTGTATATCAAAATGTGGTATTTATAAATTTACGGATGTTTAGAAAGGTCGTTGAAATTTGTAATTAGTCATATTGGTTGGAAAAAAGAAATTTAATTGGGTTTACGTTTTTTTTTTTTTAACTTTTTTCAGTAGGAAGTAGGTCGTGTAAACTTGTGAATGATATTTTCTTTCTATTTTTATATTCAAATATTGTTTTCTCTACTTTAAAGAATCGTTCGTTAGCCGCATAAAAAAATATTAATATAAAACATAATTCAGTGTATTAAGAGGTTTGCTACAAGTTATACCTATATTTTTATATTCTCCTGTCTCCCGTCTTTCCAGGTCTCTCTCCTTCCACTTCCACAGAACAGCATTAATTTCATTATAATAAGATTTTGCTGCATTTTTAGGAATTATATGATTTAGATCATAAAATAAGTAGATTTACATAAATTTATGATCCATGACTTTCCTATGACGATGTTGAAGACAGTATAAATGCAGGATGTTTAAAAAAATGTAAGCAATTTAAAATGCTCTCTAAAATTTATAGAAAAGTTAATTTTTTGTAATGTTAAAGTTTTGTTAAAAATATCTCTTCTGGTTGAAAATATATAAGACGATATCTATACAGGGTGTCCGCGCAAATTTCACCGACAACGTTTGACTGCATATTCACGACAATAAATAATTACGATATATGAAAAAAGGTAAATAAAAAATTTTTGGTTTTTGAGTTATAAGCCTTCAAATTTGTTAAAAATAAAACTAATTTAATTAGATGCTGATTGCTGTGGCTATCAGGTAATGTCATTATTGTCGCGTTTCTTTAGGAGTCTCATCACTCCACACATGCAAATTATGAAAATTTACAACTCCGTTTCTTGTAAAACAAGATTCTGCTCTTTAATGTTTTTGCTGAGTTTATATCACATTATTCAAATATGTCTGAAGATATTTTACGTAGATTGATGAAACCTCAGCTAATGATTTAAATAATTAAATATGTGTTTAACTGGTATATGAACCAGTGGCGGGGGTCACAGGATTCAATCAGAAGAAAGGGTTATCTTTCATTTTATTCGACAAACGACGAGTTCATTTACGAATTACTATTTTAGTTAAGTTAAGAGGTATTTGTTTAAAATTATCACATCACACAGCTGAATGAATAAAATATAACTAAATAAAGTACTAAGTGTAATAAGAAATATTTACAGTACAATTTTTTGTTCCAATACTATTTTACACAAAAATAATTGCCAGTAGCTTAGAAATTCTAGGGTTTTTAACGAGAGTGCCTCCCAATATCTCCGCCACTGATTAACATGTTTGTATACCAATTCGATTAAGTTTTCCCTTTAATTACATAGTTATACCTCAATTTTTTGTTTCATCAGTATACGTAAATATTTTTAAACGATGTGATATAATTTTTTTAACTCCAGTAATTTGTATTTCGGAAATCGATGAACCGTTAAGATTTTTACGCTCAAAATGTTCAAAATCAAACGCTGCATGAGCTTAAAGTACATCTTCTAGAAAACATCTTTAGTAGATTGTGTAAATAAATTTATATATTTTCTCTGTAAAATTTTTTACATATCAATAATAATTTTAATATTTTAATATTTGGGTGATAAATACAGCATTCGTAATTAATTTGCTCACCCGGCATCTATTAATACATTGGGGAACTGAATACTTTAACGGTTGGCCTGTAGATGACTCTGATTGTCTGGCAGAATAACTTTTATTACAGTGGCTTCACTTCTCGTATCCTAAAACCGTCATAGTAAAATTATACTTACTATTCTTACAGAGATTTAAAAAATATCCTGATATCGTATGTCCCACGATTGTGAATGAAGAAGAAAAACTTTTGTATTTGTAAATTTATGAAAAAATATGCATTCTAAATGTTCCTGATGCCTGTTCTTAAACTTTTAAAACTGCCTACTACTTTCCCGATTTTATATACAACTACATTTTTTTAAATTTAATTGACCATCGCAAAGTATCCAAATTTGTTTATAAAGCTAAGACCGTCACTAAGATATGGTTCGGAATTTCAAGAATGTCATAAATGTGAATAAGTTTCAGTTTTAAGAAGAAATAATTCTAATAAATCCTAAATTTGTCAAAAATTTAACAATCCATATTCAAAATCAAGAAAGTAGTAACATTTTTAAGAGATTGGTGACAAATAAAAATTTTCATAAAGAATATTTTTTTATATATTTACAAATACAAACATTTTTTATCTTCAGGGCACAATAATTGTGGGACACTGTATATTAGTAATAGCCTTTTGTAACAGCGGTGTTTTCTTAGGTGAAGTTTGATGTAAAATGTATTTATAAAATAAAGTTAATAAATAGGTAAATTACTTCTGTTGTTTTTCATATTTTATTGGTATCTTCAAAACAATAGACAGACAGAAGCAGAGAGAAACCTGGAAAAAGTAGCAACTTTAATTAAATAGGATTCTGCAATTCTGTAGTTGAATAGTCTGAGGTATAGATGGCACTACCAAAAACAGTTAAAATGTGATTTAAATACACCGGGCCATTTGCCATTACAATTACTATGGAAACATATGTATAAGTAGGCATAGTGCGACTCGAAGTTTAACAGGACCGTAGTCAGATTACGAATGAAAATATTAATATGTTTACAGAAAATATGTCGCATAATAGTACTATTACCAAAGAGCAAGGCTAAGTATAGGATAAAATACTTATATAAATTTAAATGACACCACTTACCCGGTAAACCTTAATGTTGAGACAAGGCTTCCGTGGCATATTGGAAGGAGTTAAAACATATTATTACGTGATTTTCTAAGTTTTGGATCCTGGATTTTTTCAACACTGCATTTTTTTCTGTATCATGCTACTGACTGGGCGTAAATTATTTGCATCATATATATCGAGCGTTCAAATAAAAACGTGGTCAAAGTTGGCTCTGACACATTGGACGTAGGGAGTAGCTTATAGCGACCAACTTAACCTCATTTCTCAACGAGCTGTATAGCAGCTGTCAGTTTCAATAACGTTAATGACTATATAACTTTATTTTAAAGAATAATCGTGATAACAATAACAAACAATTAAAGGAGCTGCGGAAAGTGTCCCCCTCCTTGTTATAACAATAAATTAAAGCAGCTGCTGAAAGTGTCCCCCTCCTTGTTCCAAGCACTTTTCACACCTGTTCCTCAAAGAATTAAAGACATTTTCTAAGATGCTCGGGGTATTGTTAATTTCACGAATCTTGTCTATAAGTCGAGCCTGCAGATGGTTTAAATCAGAATAGGCAGTTCAAAAATAGCGTTTTTAAGGTAAGGCCACAAAAAGAAATCACGCGGCGTAATATCACATGACCTCGGTGGAAATTCATGTTCAGCATTGAGACTTATTAGTCGATTTTGGAAAACTTCCCTCAACATATTCATCGTCTCGCCTGCCGTATGTGCCCTTGCGCCATCTTGTTGAAAGTAAAAGTTTGTAATTTCGTTTTCTTCCAGCTGGTTAACAAAAGGAGCGATAATTTCTTCTCTATACCTTTGCGCAGTAAGAGTACCATTAAAAAAAATAGGTCCATAAATCCTCCTTCGGTTGAGAGCACACCAAACTCCAATTTTTTGAGCGTGTAGAGGGCCCTCGACAAAAAAGTTATCTGGTTTTTCAGAATACCACATTCTCATATTCTGTGAGTTTACGTAACCACTTAAATGAAACCAGGCTTCATCAGAAAAAAAGGTGATATTATGAAGTTCACCGTAGTTGTTTAAAAACCATTCACAAAATACAGCCCGTCGCGGAAAATCAACTTCATGAAGTTCTTGCTGACAAGTTAAACGATAGGAGAACAAACGCAAATCTTTTTTTAACACTGTGTGGCAGGTACCGACTGATACTCCCACCATTTGTGATAAAACATGTACAGAAGTTCTTGGCACATTTTCCATTATTTGTTGGACATTTTCTTTTAATTCTTCAGTCCGCTTTTTAGGTCGGCCGCTTCCTTCTCAATAGAATACTTCCATATTCCATCAATCTTGCGTCCATTTCTAAAGTAGGACTCTATGATAAACACTTTTTGTTCTTGAGAAAACACCATTTTAAACGTTTTTTAAAACGAAAATATTCAAATTGATAGCGGCGATGTAGCGCTTTGACAGATGACGTTTAAGTTCATTTGCTATACGCTACGCCCTACGTCCAAATTTTCAGAACCAACTTGACCACGTTTTTGTTTGAACGCTCGTTATTTTTTCATCCATCATATCAAATTGTTCATTTAGGGATAGTTCATGTGATTCCAATTTACGAAATTACGGAACTTGGGGTTCTCTAATTTGTTTAATGGAATGTTGCTTGAAAGAAAGGCGAAAAATACAGTCTTCAGCGCTGGACGAGGCATGGCTCCTCAAATGTCTTTCACATACAGTACAAAACAAGTCATTTCCTTTAATACGTATGTCCCTGTATCCTTCGGGATCACTGTCAAACCACATTTGAAGTAATTCCCGTCTATTTCTTTTCTCTTTTGGCATTTTACTTCACTTTTTCCCCCAACTAATAGTTGTTAATGTAAATTATGTTGCAATTTACAAATAGTTATTTAAATACACACGGCGAATACAATTTATAACAGACGTAAAAAAGAAAGGTATCGACGCGACGCCAACTACTACA